CTCGGAAACTAACTCTGTTGCGGAAGATTAGTTTCTCGTTCGGAAACTAACCCTGTTGCGGAAGGCTAGTTTCTGATAGTTTCTCGCTCGGAAACTAACTCTTTTGCGGAAGGTTAGTTTCTCATAGTTTCTCGCTCGGAAACTAACTCGGCTGCGGAAGGTTAGTTTCTCCTAGTTTCTCGCTCGGAAACTAACCTTCGCATGGTTAGTTTCCCGCTCGGAAACTAACTCGATTGCGGAGGGTTTGTTTCTCTGGAAACTAACAAACTTTGGGTCAACCGTATATGAGTTCATCTGGCCATTAGGAGCGTGTGAATCCGTGACGGGCCTGAGCGAGCTTCGAAGAACTCAACGAGATCAGCTTGGAGCGTTCGCAGGTCCTGTTTGTCGAATGCGGACATGCCAGCACGCTGCACAGATGAGTACCCGGCTGTGCACGCCGTGACATATCATGCGCCATGCTTCGCCGTATCCTCCAGCGTCGGTGCCTCTCTTGGACGGAGGTTGAAGTAAAGGCGCCGCGCACCAGCGATGCCCTGCAGCACCTGCAGTCTGTGAAGTCTTTGTGCCAAGCTGAAGCTCGTCATGTCCGTGTCTGACCAAAGAAGGACCCAATCAACATGGCGATCATCATCTACATCAAATCTCCCACAAGATTCGAAGGCCACTGATAGCATCGATAGGATTGAGCATTACAGGAGATCGCGATTTTTGAGACACGACAAAGCTGTAGATTAGACTTCAAGCACTTTGCAAACATTTGGAATCACGATTCGCTCTACAGCAGCCCCTTTCCTGCAGGCGAAATCCTAAAGGTCAGAGAGCGAAGTGACGAGGCTGAGAGCTGCTAAAGATTTCGTAGGAGGACCGGGTAGGCTCATCGTTTCTCGAGCTCCCATGTTCCAGAATCTCCGAGCCTGCACTTGATCTATCAGTCCCAGATCTGATAGATGGGCCAAGACCTCGTGGACATGGTCCTCAGATGACGTCGGCTACAGTCCAAGAAGGGCCACACCGACAAGATCTCGGGCAGATGGAGCCAAGGTTCAGAGTACGTGCAGCCTGTGCCCATGTCTGCCGCAAACTCCTGGATGTCCTCGCAGAATAAACTGCCCAGCGTCGCTCGCACTGCAGGCAAACTGCAAGGGAGCCGCCATGTGTGCCGAGAGATGAGAGCAGCTGAGGCAGCCCGCCAGCCTGCCAAGAAATCCACAGTTACATCAGATCAAGACAAAACTATCAGGCCGGTCAAGCCAAGCAGCGACGTCGACGCTGGCCCTCCCAGGTTGTCGATGCAGCATGTGGTGCTCACTTGGATGCCACCTGTTGGTGTCCGGAGTTTAGCCTGGCCCTCCCTCATGGCCTGGCGGACTACTACGACTCGCTCATTAGACATTCTTTTCCGTGTAAAAGCAAGTTTTCCGGCACGTGGCCGTTGGCAGGGAACTTGTCGAAGAATTCCCTGGAGCTGCAGGCTGTCTTGATCGAAAGCCTGTAGTTTGACTTGCTTCAAGCTTGGGCAGCTGTGATCTTAGATATACGCGCATTCTGCAAGGGTTTCAGGAAGCTCTGCCAGCCGAGGGTCAGTCTCTGTTGCACGGCGCGCAGTTTTTGAATTGTCGTCTCCGCTGGGCGAATCTCTGCCTGACAGTGCGCTTGACCTGCCCTGAGACAGTACGCCGTCGCAACGACGACTTCCTATCCTGCCTTCAGCATCACGGCCTCGACTTCATCCTGGATGAAACCCATTGCCTCATGACCCAAACACTCAGGCTTGGTGCCTGAATGCTGCGACAATCAGGTGATCACCCGCACTTTATGGCCATGCTTGACAACATTGCATCGGGCCAACCAGTCACTGTGAGCATTTCCGTTGTAGCCTGCCTGCACATGAATGTCTTTCGCGTCATAGCCGGTGAAGACAGACAACATGTCTTGAAAGTCTTTGCAAGGTCCTCCAGGGATTCTTGAGCCAGTCATGCAGTGACACCTCTCGACAAGTCCGTGGTCACGCTCCTTCCGGAGTCGTCGCGAGAAGGCCGCGCTTGTCCAGCACGTCGCAGTAGAGATAGAGAGCAGCTTCCGTCTGCAAATAGCTGTTGGCCTTTATCGACACTCTCCCTTCGCCAATTGCTAGAAAAGAACCCACCAGCTTGCACGGAGGAAGAAGCTACGCATCCACAACATGCAGAAACACCTAGCTCTTATAAAAGAAATCACACAAACCGGTACCTTGCAACATCAAAAGCTACACCGACACACCAGTGTTCCATGAAGCGGCGGCGTAAGCTTGACTCCAATCATGAGGCTGTAGGCTGTAGGCCTGGGCCTTGTGTGACTAAGCGAGCTCGTTACGACAAGAGTCGTCCAGCGGCGGCGCTTGCATCGCGTCTGTGCATTTGTCCACCTGCAGGAAGGTGCAGCGAGTAAGATAAGTGATAGGTGTTCCTATCTTACAAAACCACATTCTAACCTGCGCAGAGCATCGCAGAGCAGGAGTTGCATTTGCCTGCTCAGCTGCCGAAGGAAAGTTGAAGAGATTGATGTTGAACATGCCAGGGTAAACTGTCTGGCATACCCGCTGATCCGGCATGTACGTCGGCGTGAGGGGCTGGTGTACCTCTGCCACAGACAGTGCAGTGCAGTGCAGTGACTAGCCCACCACGCGTCAGTTGACGCTCTGCCGCCCGGCCCAGGCCCCCAGGCCGCCCAGGCCTGTAGCTTCTCTCTGTTTGACTCCGAGGCCTGGCTCCGAGAAATGAAAGACCAAGAGTTGACTTTGGCAGCGAGAGAGCGACTTTTCAGCGGCATCGGCTCCAACTCTTGCAGTGAAGTTGCAACAAGGAACTGCGCTGAGATGCAGGCAAGCTGCATGCTCAAGATTTTCCGAGAGCCGATCGGCAAACCCGATCTCCGGCTGCTCGACGACAGTGCTAGCCTCGAGCTCCACAACGTGGAAAGGCAGTGTGTGTGATTCGGCACATCTCTATCAAACGACATGGCAGTCGGTTCGATGGATTCCAGATGGCGAGGCGCCGTCCTGCCAAAGGCACGCAGCATTGCTAGTAGCGAGCTGTCAAGGACTGCAGAGATCATTGAAGCTCCAGCTGGTCGTGGTGGAGATGCTCTGCATCCGAAATGGAGCTAGACTTGTCTAAACACTCACGACACACAACATTCTACTCTCGCCGGTCTTGGTATATCGCAATGTATCGCAGGCTCTCAGCAGCAATTGCACCTCGAGAGCAGCCGATTCCCGATCTTCCAATCTGCTTCCCTCGGACAGACCATCCGAGACTAATTCAATTACTGATGCAATCCCACTTCGTGCAGGCTGCTTACATTGCAGCAGCCTTCTGTAAGTGGCAGACGGTTGTACTGCTTTCTCGGCGCACTTGTTCGTGAGCCTGCTTCCTTCAGCCGTCGCAAAGCGTCACACAGATATTGTTCAGGAAAGCTCCCTCACCAGTCTTCTGATATGGCTCGGACTCTCTGTTCCAGATTTCTCTCCACTTGTCCGACTTTCTCCATTTCTCGAAGCCCTGGCCAAAAACAAAGCACACCGCTTAGGAAATCGGAGTTGCCGGCAACGAATTGCATGCGTGCACCTCCCGCGAGAAGAACGCGCAGCACCCGTCATCGCTGAAAACGTAGTCGATTCCCAGCCAGAGCTCAGGGCACCTGAGCTTACGCCGGTCTGAACTCAGAACTCCGAAGCTGTCTTAGGCCGCCACTGCTCCAAGATTTCAAGGGTGGCCTGAAGGATGACAAAAAGGCCGAGATCCGCTCAGATGGATTCGCACGCCGTACACCCTTAGCTTACGCCCCAGCTTACGGCACTGTGTGGCTGCGGGCCTCCTTGCAGCTCGTCGGGAACAAGGATTCCCAAACCGTCTCCTAAGAACTTGCCAGGTTCTTCCTGAAGCTTCCGGACCACTTGCTGGCTGAGTTTCCAGGACGTGGCATTGCAAAAGAATCAACTGGCAGAAAATTGACACATCTTGCCGACCTTAGAATTGATCCGGTTGAAGGACAGGGTCAGCGATGGGCTAAAAAGCCCAGCATCAAGAGCGGGAATTGGCGCTGGAGGGCTGAGGGCCTGCACAGATGTTAATCCCAGGTGCTTTTGCTGGTGTTGAAGGCCACTTTCACGAAAAGCTGCTCAGAAAACGAACCCGTCAGCACCTGCCAAGAGAATCAGCTAACATCCATCGAAACGGCCAATCACTTGTGTTGCTAGAGGGGCCCACGACCTCTGAGCTAGCCTTCCCTCGGAAAAAACGAGTCAAGATGCTCTGACATAAAGCACCGCACTTATTGCCTTGTCAATCTCATCGCAGCCGGAACCCAGATAGACAAAGTCTTGCCCCAGCTTCGCCTCCGCCGAAACGAACAAGCCACATGATCGCTCCTTGCTGCCACACGAGGCCTTGCTAATGTCCTTCCGAATCTCCTCGAGGGGCTTGCAGATGCCTTCACAGTGTTGGCGCCACGCCTTCACATCACATCTGCAAATGTCCCATCCTTTCCTTTATGACGGATACAGCCTGAGACGCTACTACCTACTAGTACTATACTACACAAGACTGCAAAAACCACGAAATCATCACAAACTCGAAACGGTCGGGGGCCTCCAGCGGGCTCTCAGCGAGCCTCTGCCAGATGCCTCGGTAAAGCTGGATCAATATGCCAGACGCGAAACTCAGAGTGAGCACGAGCAATGTTTGACAAGTTGCCCAGGTGAACAGAATAGGTTTTAAAGATGTGGTGCTCCTGGATGCAAGAGCGACATGCAAGGCCCAGCCTCAGCCTGAGCCACATCTCCTTCCGCAAGCCTTCCTCAATGTTGCTTCCTTCGCTTTCGGGGCTTCGCTCTCGGGGTCTAGGCCAGGCATGCGCCATGCTTGTTGCAGCCCGGGTGCTGTTCCATTTAAGGATGCCTTCGACATCTTCAGTTGCTACGGACCTGCAGGCAGTTTTAGGTGGTATGCAAACCTAGAAAAGTATAGACCAGAGGCCAAGGAGCCTGCAGTCTGCGCTTTCCATGTCATGACCTGCCACCATGTGCACGAAGTGCCACAGAAGCTCATCCCGCTCTGCCATCCTGACCATGTTTCAGCAAGTTGAGTCATTGTCTTTAAGCATTCCTCCGCTGCGCTGCAGTTGTGGCAACCTTGCGCACAGTTTCCCTTTGCAGCAGGTCCTGCACGCCAGCACAAACTCGTCTCGCGACACGGAGCTCTCTGCTTCTTCGTGGACCGAAGACTTAAACCTGAAAGCAACGACGTGCCAGCTATGCAGCTAGGTGGGACTTCACCGGCATCTGAGCAACAGCTTTCGGAGAAGCTTCTTCATCTTCAGGTTCTCGAACTGAAAAAGTCGCCGAAGCTCGCGGTTGCAATCATCCTCCAAGGCCTTCCACCACTCCTCCATCCTGACTGTACATCTGGCGCAAGACGCTTCGGAATCCCAAGGTGTCGGAATTCGGAATGTGCATTCCGAAGCTCGAGATGACTCCATTCTTATCCGTGTCAACTTCATCGAATAGCCGGTGCCATGTTTGCTCCTTCGTGGTGTCTCCCGGACTGCCTGGTACAGTATAGCTGGAACCCATGCGTGTAGACTGGCCGAGAAGTAAAGCGAACAACTGAAGGCGGGACACCGGCGTCTAAGGACTGCCCACGAAGCCTTGCAAAACGACGCTCCTGGGCAAATGAAACTACACGAGTCTCTGCTTCGCAACTTCGCAAGAAAATACACAGCCACTAAAGCAGACCAAGAGTCGAGGAAGCTCTGGCCAATGTGACGACGCAGTTCTTGAATGCAGCTTGCATGAGGACAGGCAGAGGAGTTAAACCTTCCGTCTCGACAAACATGGCTCATTCTGACTTGTGCGTACAAGCAGAAGCAACGGCCTACCAAGGACATCTCAAGCGAGTGCAGGACTCTCGCATTACAAGAGCTGGCCACTTCCATCAAGCAGCTTGCTTTCCCAAAAAGGGGTGCCACTGTTATAACATGGTGCTGCTGTAGTTTCCAGCACTGTCAGCGCCGCTTTGATGCGCGGCTGCGTTTTTTCGAAGGCAGAATCACCTGCAGAAACGTCGCAATGGCACCAGCAATGCTCGTCACTTCGGCAATCAGCATCGACTGCAGCGAGTATCACTCAGTATCACGGTACTTCGAAAGTTAAGGCCTGTCCAGGCGCTGAAACATTCCAGAATGCGCTGAACTCCACTCCGGTAGAGCCTTCGCTTCGAACACAGGGACCCTCTGTAAGTAGAGCGCAGCTCGCTTTGCAGCCAGGTAGCTCCACACCAAAGTAATCTAGAGGATTCCTGTCCTGAAGCTTCGAACCGAGAAGAGCGCCCGAGATCGCCCGAGGCATTTCTGTCTCTGCCGAGGCTCCCCAAGCGCGACCCCAAGCGCTTCGAGCTCATCGGCTGACACCGAGGAGGGCTTCAAGCGAAGAATCTCCAGAGCTTGCTTGGCGGCCTCCTCCGGATCCTGCCCCAGGATCTACAAGAGCAGCCACGCATCACATCGCAACGTGGCACCTCTGAGAGGCAGCGGCAAGCAGCCAGGAGCAGCTGGCAAGGCTCCCGGAGCTGCTCAAAGTCTTCCTCGGTGGCCTTGGGGCAGAAAGCTGCGTCGCGAAGCGGTGGACCGAGGCTAAGGCGGGCACCAGTGCAGGCAACATCTGCTTCAAGATGCAGAGCAGCTCCTCGCCGGCGGTTGAACCTCGAGTGGAAAGTGCAAGCATGTGAGAATGTGCAACTCGGAGCAGGGGCACCTCGTAGAAGACGCATGACGGCCGTTGCTCGGACTGGGTCTGCTTCTACCGGGCCGAAGATCAGCCGGAGCTCTGCTCTGGCGAGGCACGGCACGTCCTGTGCGGCCTTTACTGTAAGGACTCGAGTGGCCGTGTACCCGCCGTCCGCAGCAGTCAAAAAATCGAGGACTGCCAGAAGCGCGAGGACTTCGCTTAAGCTTCCTTGCCTCCTGCAGAGGCATGGCGAGACGAGAGACGAGACGTGACTCCGAGGGCGTCCTGTCTTCGAAGGCTTCAGGAAGCCCGTGCTCTGACACGTGCTTGGCGAACCATGTGCCAACGACGAAGCCGATGCTCGGCCGAGGCTCCTTGCAACAACAGCTGAGGGCACTGCACTGACGCCGACCTTGCCGACAAGGGACGCACGGCAGGGCCGTCTCCAAGCACACCAGCCTCAGGCCACACAGGGTGAGCTTCGTAGATACGTCCATAGGTCCATGACTAATTTGAAACTACATAGAGATTTGCACGCGTCAAAACAAAAAAACTAATCAGGCCCGGCGGCAGGTGCCCAGGCTTTTGCCGGATATCTTGCTGGATGCGCTGGCGCAAGCGGTCGAGGCCTCTGACGCGAAGAGACTGAACCTGTCGGGGGGCACGAAGGCAGGAGACGGTGTTCGAACTGTGAAATGCCACCAGAAACATCACAAAGAATCGCCGCAAACCTACATCCGCAACCCTGCCTGCTGCTGTATGCAGCAGGTCACTGGAGTACCAGGCCCATGATCACAACAGCCAGTGTCAGCAACACCGCCATAAGCCAAGATGATGTCGGGCGTCAAGTTCAGCTCCTGACGCGTTGTGCTGTTGTCTGTGTCTTACAAGAGTGGCTCTCAGGCGTTCAAGCAGCACTCTGGCTCGGGGTCTTTCAGAACAAGGCTCCGGCTCAAGAAATGCAGTGGCCCCAGGCGTGGCATGGAACGCATTTTTTCTCTCAGAAGGGAATGGTTACAGTGTGCAGAACTTGCTGTGTCATGGCATCCACAAAGTGGGTCGCCAAGAAATTCTTAGCAAGCTCATGCACGGCAAAGCCATGTGCAGAAGTGCCCCACTGGAACTCGCTGCAATTGGAGCAGTTCTTCAGGGGATGCAGGCCCATCCCTCCCACTCCGTTTCCGAGGTGGTGAACCTCTTGTCCGCTCTCGCGGAAGTGCTGCATCACATGATCATGGCCATGTAAGTAAACCACCTTGGCCAAGCTGCGGCCGCAAGAACTAACGAAGCAAGGTCTCGTGAAGTTTGGCTTTAGCGCCATGGCACGGGCTTCGATGCCTTGACCAGCGCCGCCTTCAGAGCCTCGGCCACCGCAGCCTCGTGCGGCGACGAGCCATACTTCCCGCGGTCGGCCAGACTTCGGATGGGCCGATGTCCCACGACGACCTCAATCTCAAGAACTGCCAGAGCCAGATCATGGCCTTGGAGGAGGGGGGCAGGGCGGGGCCGGCCTGCAACGATGCCTCGTCGTCAGACTCGTCCTCGCCGGCCTGGGGCAAAAAGGCTACTTAGTCTGCTTCTCCATCTGTGCGCATCTAGAAATCTAGGCAGGTGGAAAAAGTCATGCCAAGGCGCCAGGGTTCGAGAAAGCCATCCCCATTGTGCCTCTCCAGCCTTCCTTCCCGCAAAATCTTCTGAAAGGTCCTGTCAGAAATTCAAACTCTGCATCTCTGAAGCAGCGCAGCCTGTCGGAATTGCGCCCACCTTACCTTCCTAGAAATCACATAGGGCGGTACACTTACTAATTAGTAGTCCAGCATGTAACGCACGTGCCACGCCGAATGCCAGAATCGGGATTGCTTGAATTGCTTTGCTGGCTTCAAGCAGGCCTGCTCAAAGCGCCGCCCCTTCGGGGTGTGCGCGAGCATGCCGCCCTCGAGTCCAACAGAATCCAGTATGAGGAACCTCACCTGTCTGTTTCCTGCAGGTAGTTCGAAGGTATAGTACCTGCAGCGGTGGCATCTGCACGTGGATCTCCTCACCTCACACCAAACCTTTTACCCAGCGACGGAGATGGCAGCCGCCACCGAGGATTGCGCTGCGGCCGCAGCAACAATGCAGAAATGTTGCCTCGATGATCATGATCTCCGAGGGTGATCTTGCAGGGCGCGCAGACTGCATTCAAAACAGTCATGCATGTTGGGTGAGACTAGTACGGCCACCTACCGTGCAGTACTGGCTGATATTGTGGGTGTGATTTTTCTTGTAGTTCATGGTACAGGCTAGTACATCGGCTTCAACTTGCTTCACAACTATCTTGTTGCTGAACATGTCAAGCGTAGTGGTCATGATGGGCGATGAGTGATGTTGATAGCGATGGTGTCTGTGATGACATCGATGATGACAGTTGCTGTGCTTGCAGTCAGGTATCGATTGAATGTCGCACCACGAATCACTTACACCACTGATGCTGCAAGAGGAGACCGCTCCTGCCATGGAATCTCTTTCAGATGACCATAGCTATAGATCTTCTCCTCGGCTGGTGGCGACAGAGTCCGGAACGAAGCTTTGGTTCTCGGCCGAGTGGCGAAGGACTCCTCGAATTGAGGATCTTCGGAGTCTTTTACCTTCGACTCTGAGCCGCACAGACAGTCAAACTCAACGAAAGTTCTGCAAGCAAAGCTGATGTCATGCCAAGATGCCCCTCGTATGTAGAAGTTGTCCTGAAGACGAGACAAACACTAAGATGCCTGGGAGTGCCTCGCAAGTTGCGAGAGATTTTTCACTTGTGCTCGCAGAGCGGCTCCAAGAGAGAGGATGAACTTTGGTTGCAGGCCCTTGGCCAGGTGCTCCATGGCTGCGGCCACACGCCTCCTTTTGCATCAAATCGAACTTCAGCCGCCCATCGCCCCCGCNNNNCACCCCCCCCCCCCCCCAATTGAGCAAGGAGCTGGTTGTCTGCAGAGCAGGAGTAGTGGCCAATCCCACCACCGCTTTCCAGCTGATTCTCCTGCACACCCACAGGAATGGATTGCTACAGTATCGAATGAAGGCTGCCTACTGCTCCAGCGCATGCACATCCAACCGCGGAAA